TTAACTGAAAGCTGGAGAGATCCGCAGCTGCAGACGGGGCTGCCCAGAGGGAGGACACAGAAACTGGCAGAATCATGGTCCAGGAGGGAGGGAGAGGTGATAAATATTATAACCTCTCTCTCCTCCCACCCCCATCTCTTCCTGGTACCTCCCATTGTTCAAACCTGCCTCTTGAAGACAGCCTCAGGCATGTGGGGCAGACAAGGGAGGAATACGGATCTGGAGAAGCAGAGAACAGTCAGCACACGCGGAGCGACACAGACAACGCAGCCGCTGCAAACACAAATCTCCTGAGCTCTGCAGGAATCAGCTCTGACTCAGATGATGCAGTCTGTTCAATTGTTTTTAAAGATTTACACTTAAGTGCTATTGCTGTCATACACTACTTTTAAACATATCATAAGCCCAAAATGTTATCACGGTTTTGACTTTAAGCACTCAATTCCCTTTAGAAGATTTTAAAATGAGAAAAACATCTTTTATATTTACCCACATATTCACCACTTCCAGAACTTTATTCCTTTGTATGGATCCAAATTTCCACTTTGTATTATTTTCCTGCTGCCCCCAAACTTCCTTCAATGTTTCCTACAGGCAGGTCCACAGGTGGTAAATTCTCTGACTTTTTTGATCTGAAATAGTCTTTATTTTGCCTTCATTTTGGAAAGATGTTTTTGATGGAAATAGAATTCTAGTTTGTAGGGTTCGTTGTTGTTTTTCTTCCTTTTGGTAATGTAAAGATGACATTCCATTGTGTTCTATCTCGCATAGTTCTGACCAGAAGTACACTGCCATTCTTCATTCCCATGGACATATTTTTTTTTCCAGGTGCTTTAAAATTATTCTCTTTATCATTGGTTTTCGTCAATGTAACTATGATGTGTATTGCTGTGACTTTCCTTATGTTTATTCTGCTTGGTGTTCTTTGAACTTCTTGAATATGTGGGGTTATTGTTTTCATCATATTTGGAAAATTTTCAGCCATTATTTATTCAAATACATTTTTATGGCTCTTCTCTTTCTCTTCGGAACTCCAATTATACATGTATTACACCACTGTAACTGTTTTTCTATTCTCTCTCTTTTTAAAAAGTCTTTTTCCAACAAAATGTGGTATATGTGTACCATGGAATACTACTCAGCCATACAAAAGGATAAATTAATTTGTTTTGCAAAAATTTGGATGGAACTGGAGACCATTATCCTAAGTGAAAAATCTAAAGAATGGAAAAACAAACACCACATGTACTCACTATTAAATTGGAACTAATTAATGAGCACACATGCGTATAGCAAAACTCAGTGGAAATCAAGCAGGGGGAGGGGGGAGGAGGGGATGGTTGAAAACTTTCCTAATGGGTACAATGAACACTATTTGGGTGATGGGCACACTTATAGACCTAACTCCGGCACTACAAAACTGATCCATATAATCAAAAACATTTGTACCCCTATAATATTTTGAAATTTAAAAAGTCTTTTTCCTCTCTATATATCATTTGGATAGTTTTTTCTTATTCTTCAAGTTCATTTTTTTCCTTCTTCTGTGTCTAATCTGTCCACCCAGCATTTTTAAAAAATTGATATTGTTGTTTTTATCCCTAGAAGTTCCATTTGGACCTTTAAAAATATACCTTATGCCTCAGTTTTCATCAAATTTGTGTTTTCCCTCTACTTTATCATAGCTATGTTAACTTTCTTGTCTACTAATTCTGTCACCTGTATTTTCTGGGTCTGTTTCTCCTGAATTATTTTTATCCTGGTTTTGAGTCATATTTTCTTGCTTCTTTGCATGCCACATATGTTTTTGGAATGCCAGACATTCTGGGTCCAGAACACCTTTTAATCTAGAGCAAATTAGCCTCATTCCTATGACAATGTCCTTCTGAGTATTCTACCTGATGTACAATTTATCTCCACTCTGGCTGGTGGGAACATTAACTATTCCCAGCCCTGTTTGACCCCAGCGACTGTTCAGCCTACTGCTTTCCAGTGTTTCTCTGCCTGGCCTCAGGAAGTTTCCTTTCACACATGTGCAAATCAGTACTAAGCCAAAGTACTCAGGGGACTCCTTGAAGATTTCTGGAGCCCTGACTCTGGGAAGCTCCCTCCTCTCCAGTACCTGCCTTTGCAAATTCTACTTACTGTGGCTTCCCCAAATGCCAATCCTGTCTCTTCACTTCAGCAAGGCTGTCTGTTCTCTTCTCTGAACTGTAACTTGGTAACTGTCATTAGGTAGAAGGCTGGGCGACCACAGGACACACCTCACTTTGTCTGTCTATGTTCTGCCAGGGATCACAAACCTGTGCTTGTCGTACATCTGAAAACCATCATATTTCATATATATTGTAATTTCTAGCGGTTTAGGGCAGGAGAGTTAATCTGATCCTTGCTATGCCACCGCAGCAGAAAGCAGAAGTCTTCGCATTTAAGTAAACATATCTACCATTTACAATTCACTACTGTTTGTAATAATTTATATACAGTGAACATAACTTCCTTACAGAATTATTTCAAGAGTCATGCTTATCAAATTCTTCAAATTATTAGGACTACTCTTCTGTTTGAAATCTCTAATACATAATATTCAATATTTACTTTCTGTATTTTCTAGTGTACAGTGTCGTCCCTTTTTGATGAAATCTTTTTTTTTTCCTATATAGGTCTTCTAAATGTTTAACAAACTGTGACTTTAGACAGAAAGCTTCTATATTATCTACTTCTATACTATCACGATACTATCAGTATTCACCTTGATGAGTCGCCCAGAGTGTAATGAGTTATATTCTGGGAGAAGGCTTTTGTACACTGTCTACCTTTTAAAAAATTCTCTCCTTTCTGAATTTTGTTTAGTGAATTGATTCCCCCATTAACACTTTTTCAACAGTTCACTGCCCCAATAGGATTTCTCTCCTATATGTATCCTCAGAAGTGTTAGAAATTATGACATCTGACTTTCCACATTCACTGCACTCACAGGGTTTCTATATTATGTGATTTCTCTGATGTATCATGAGTTGTGACTTCCTGTTGAAGGTGGTCCCACATTCACTGCACCCATAGTATTTATCTCCTGTGTGAATTCTCTGATGCCTCATAAGGTGTGACTTTCTAGTGAAAGACTTCCCACACTCACCACATTGATAGGGCCTCTCTCCTGTATGAATTCTCTGATGGATAATGAGCTGTGCCTTCTCAAAGAAAGCTTTTCCACAATCACTGCATCCATAGGTTTTCTCACCTGTGTGGTTTCTCTGATGCTTAATGAGCTGTACTTTCTGAACAAATGCTTTCCCACATTCACTGCATTCATAGGGTTTCTCCCCTGTATGGATTCTCTGATGCCGAAGGAGCTGTGGCTTCCAAGCAAAAGCTTTCCTACACTCACTACATTCAAAGGGCTTTTCTCCAGTGTGGGTTCTCTGATGATGAATGAGACTCGACTTCTCACTGAAGGTTTTCCTGCATTCACTGCACTCATAGGGTTTCTCCCCGGTATGTGTTCTCTGATGTGATATCAGGCTTGACTTCTGGGTGAAGGCTTTGCCACACTCACTGCATTCATAAGGCTTCTCCCCAGTGTGAGTTCTCTGATGTGTCAGGAGCTGAGACTTCCCAAAGAAGGTTTTTCCACATTCAACACATCCGTAGGGTTTCTCTCCTAAATGAATTTTCTGATGTCTTATTAACTCTGACTTCTTAAAGAAGGCTTCTTCACAATCACTGCATCGATAATTTTTCTCTCCTGTATGAGTTATCTGATGCTTAATAAGCTGTGGTTTTCTGATGAAGGCTTCACCACATTCATTGCACTCATAAGGTTTCTCTCCTGTATGAATCCTCTGATGCCTAATGAGGAGTGAGTTCCTGCTGAAGGCTTTTTTACATTCGCTACATGCATAAGGTTTCTTCCCTGTGTGAGTCCTCTGATGAGTGATAAGCTGTGACTTCCAAAAGAAAGCCTTTCCACAATCACTGCATTTATAGGGTTTCTCTCCTGTATGCATTCTCTGATGTGTAATAAGCTTTAACTTCTGGGAGAAAGCTTTGCCGCACTCACTGCAACCGTAAGGTTTCTCTATTGTATGGGTTACCTGATGTCTTTTAAGCTGTGACTTCCTGCTGAAGGCTTTTCCACATTCGCTGCACCCATAGGGCTTCTCTCCAGTATGAGTTCTCTGGTGTAAAATGAGCAGTGACTTCCTACTGAAAGCTTTTTGACATTCGCCACACCCATATGGTTTTTCTCCTGAATGAGTCCTTTGATGAATCGTGAGCAGTGACTTCTGTGAGAAAGCTTTTCCACATTCACTGCAGTGATAGGGCTTCTCTCCTGTGTGAGTTCTTTGGTGTATAACAAGCTGTGACTTCTTGTTAAAGACTTTGCCACACTCCATGCACAAATAGACTCCTGTATGTGTTATATGATTCGTAATAAGCCATGACTCTTTACTGCTGGCTTTTCTACATTTATTGCAATTACAGTATTTTATTCCACCATGGGTTCTGTCAGGTTTAATATAAAATGATATTTTCTTATTGAGCTCATCAAGTTTCTTTCTTCCACAGTTACTTTTTGAAATAAGAAAATCAAAAGGATGTTTTAAACTTTTTTCACTTGTGCCACATTTATGGGATCTCATTCCTAAATGAACAAAGTTCATGCTGGAATTAAATATTCTCCCAAAAACATCATATTCGTGGCTACTCTCCATACTTTTAAGCTTGTCTTGATTATCTTGGTGCAGCATTTTGGATTTATTATCTAGCCAGACTTCTAAAAAGGAAAAAAATAAACCATACTGTGTAATTCCCTCAGTGATTATGCTTATTGAATAAAGCTTTTGAAATGGAGCCAGGATTCCAGTGCAAAAAAAAAAAAAATCCCTCAAATAATGTCTACTTATTGGGCATTGAAAATTTTAACAGAAATGAAAATGGATTTAAAACTTATAGTTGCTTAAACATACAAACTTTTAAATAAGAAAAAAATGAAATATACTCAAGAAAGAGTAATCAGGAGATGAAAGAATCTAGAGCAATTTCTAATTAAATACAGAAGTGATTAATTTATCTATTCAACAATAATCTGTAAGTATCTACTATGTGTCCATAACTTTATTAACAGCAGAAGATCAGTCAAGAAGACAAGTATCCAACCATCAGAGAGCTTCACAATAGAGTTAAGAATGCAAATAAAAAGAATACAAAAGAACAACATTAGTGTACATTGTT